GGAATTATTTCGTTACTTTTTAGTGTACTGTTTTTTTTGAGAATATTTTGTTTTTGGTGTATTTTGTTTTGTTTTTAGTGCATTTTGTTTGTGTAACAATCGTGATTGTTGCACAATTTTTTTTTTGTTACCAGGCGCAAATGTTTTACAACCTATATTTAGATGTTGTTACAATAAAAGCTCAACAGGTTTCGGAGCTACACAAAAGTACTGGAGTGACATCGAGTGCTTGCTCATACTCGAAGCTTTCATTTGGACCGTGTTATAAATAAAAAAAGGCTCGGTATGCTCGGACACGCGACGCTTGTTAAGCCTTCATTACCAAGGAATTTTGCCCGCAATATTGTTAAAAACAACTTCAAAGGGCACCGTCGCTAAGTGGTCCTCAACAGTAATCTCAGGTCATATATTTTGTGCTGAGAATTTTAGTTGTTTAGACAGTTTAACTTATCATGAATATCTCAAGCAAAATTAAATAAACGCTAGATTGTTAAGCACCAGTCATGGGTTTCGATTTAATCCTACCTATATCCTGATATTTAGTAAGTTTTCAGAAAGAATTCTTAAGTACTAAGTATTTAAATACTTTAGCAAAGCTACAGTATTCAATAAGCATACGTTTGAAGCCATAGAATTAAACTATCTATTTCTAAATCAGGGATAGTTTTTGTTCTCAGCAGAAAATGTCATTAAATCCCCGATACGTCGTCTAATAGCTGCTACTGTTGTAAGATTCTTCAAGGAACATCACACGTACAAGCTCTCACAGTTGTCAAGCAAAAAATATAAACGTTACCCGTTTCCCGACTCGTCCTCTTGTAATTAGATGGAATTATTTTTTTTACGATAAAGTCATATACTGAATAACTTTTTGATAATTTGTCCGTTAAATTTACCAATAGATTTAAGATGTAATATAAAAATAAACACCATAACTATAAAAATCTATTATAACAACTTTGTTTTAAAGAACTTAAATAAAATGTTATATTTGCTGTAGATTATGCGCTACATCTAAATCAATGAAGCTAACAATAAAAAAGTGTAAAAAGAAAGATATTTGCGGTCGTGTAGAGCCACCGGATAACCGCGTGGAGCGCGATCGCATCGAGGACGTGGGGTATTAAAGAAATATTATAGAAACGTCTTCACACATCATGTAGATGCCTGATTTATTGCTAGAATTATCTGCGCGATCTAAGAGGCGGGGGAGGGGAAGGGGGGAGA